CACCCCAGCCCCCTTCCCCCCCGACGGGCCCCCATGGGGCACCGCAGCCACCTTCCACCCTGACAGGTCACCATTGCAGCCACCTTCCACCCCAACAGGTCCCCAAGGGGCACCGCAGCCACCTTCTACCCCAATGGGTCCCTGTAGGGCACCGCAGCCACTTTGTACCCCGACAGGTCCCCGTGGGGCACCGCACCCACCTTCCACCCCGACAGGTCACCATTGCAGCCACCTTCCACCCTGACAGGTCCCCATGGGGCACCGCAGCCACCTTCCACCCTGACAGGTCCCTGTGGTGCACCGCAGCCACCTTCCACCCCGACAGGTCCCCGTGGTGCACTGCAGCCACCTTCCACCACGATGATCGGTCCCCGTGGGGCACCCCATCCCCTCCTCCCTTCACCTGCCCCAGCTCAAGCACACTCCTAAGGGAAACGCAGGCTCCAGCTGCAGGCTGGGGACCGCAGAAGTCCAGTCCTCTCTAAACAAGAGCTTGAAATGCCATTTCATTTTATTTCAGCGGTGGGATGCCATTCGGGTTTTTAAATGTCACCGCACACAACCTTATCTGGCTAATACAGATCCCACAGGTAGGACTGCTGCTGCCCACTGATGTCGTGCTACTCGCGCACGCCAAGATAACGATCCCGAGACCGGGAATGACAACCTGCAGCACCAAGTCAGAAGGCAGGGAGAGGCAGCGATTAGAAGATGCCTATCGTTTGCTGCTCCTCTGATGTCAGCTGAGATACCTTTCCACGGGCAGTTGTCTGGGGTAGGGCGGCACAGGCCAGCTACTCGCTCCCAAGGCAGCTTTCCCAAGAGCCGTGTCTCGAAATACGCAGCATAACTGTCGTGCTTACACCCCCAGAGAACCTAGGAGCACCTCGAGAGCTTCACAAACACGGAGTCTGGAGAGCCTCCCTATCAGCCCAGCAGCGGGCAGCACGGTGAAGTGGGTGAATGGTAAACCTGGTAAGCACCTCTTCGTCTCCAGCACTTCTGGGTCTCCAGCTCACATTCCCAGACCTGCCAAATTGTCCCTGGTTAACCCTGCAGGAGCACAAGCCCCTGGGGGTCCATCCCAGACTTCTGCTGGGGTGGGAGCGAAGCGCCGGCCGGGCCCTGCGGCACTGCACACCAGGTTGGGCTGGTGCTCCGCACATCTCCAGCACCAGCAGGCAACACCCTTCCAGGTTTAATTTTAAAAAGGCTGTGGAAGGCACAAAAAGAGAATCACAGAATCTTTGAGGTTGGAAAAGCCCTTTAAGCTCACCAAGCCCAACCGTTCTGATGGCACGATGGGTGCCATCCCACCACCAAACCCTGTCCCTAAAAGAGACCAGAACCAAAGGCTGTTAAATAAGCCTGCAGTGAAGCAGTAATCAATAAATGGGCACTTAGGCACCGAAACTCTCCGCTCTAGAAGCGCACATCTTCACAACCTGTGCAGTAGGCAGCTGTAGAGGTTTATTAAAAGCAGGCTGTCCCAGGGATCCACAGGGACACTCCCGGACCCACACTCTGCTACAGCCAGGCTCGCACAGCCTGGGACTGGACCTCCTCCATTTCCTCGCACAAACCCTAAGAGGTCTCATCATGAGACTGGTGCTCCCCACTTTCATTAATCTTCCCTGTAAGGGAAGAGGAGGGACACGGACAGCCCAAGCAACCACAGACACCATCAAGAGCATCTGGCAGGATCAGCCCATCCTGCTGACCCCCCGGCCTGCTCACCCTGCATGGCACGCTATGAAACCAAAATTTAAATGAGTCCTACAAAGAGCCAGCTGAGACCCAGGGTGGTAATGCCACCACGGCAGCCACACCTGAATGCAAGCAGACACGCAGGACATCCTGCGTACGAGATGGAGTGATAATTAAGGAATTTCAGCACGTACGTTGAGTTGCCATGCATCAGGAACCAGTATTTTTGAAGTACATTGGTCAGGAATGCACTCGGCTCCAGGTACGGAAGAGATCTGGAGGTGTGGGAACCCCTGTTCTGATGATTCCAGGTCCCAGCCCCGAACAGGGACCGCAGGTCCCAAGGGCCCATCTCCGTGCCACGGTGTGTATGGACAGCAGGCACCGCAACACCCGAGCGAGCTTTGGGGGACGAAGGGCTGAGAAGTTAACTGGCAGCAGCCGGCCATCAACGGCGAAGCTTTCCAACAGTGTTTGGGTGGCTGTGCACTATGTCCCCATCGCAAAGACACGGCTTTTCCCGCCCGTATTCCAGCGCTTAGGTACGACGCAGGAATACACCAACACCCCTACCCCTACCCCTCCCCAGGGCTTTCACGCCTTGGCTGCCTCGCTAGCTCCCCGCCCCGCTGCCCGCCCGCTCCCCGCCCC